CCCCATCTTCTCTTTGACTTTAATCTCAACATTCTCACCTTCCTTCTGTTCGTCATCCAAGTGGTCAGCCTAAACACAGCAACCAAAATGGCCACATAAAGGTGCACGGTTAATGGTTGTAAAAAGTAAAACACCATTACTCGACCAAGGTGTGTTTGGGGATGAATCATCGTTCTCGAGAATGATCAACCACTCAGCATAACATGATTTTCCAGTCTATTTCGTTGACTGTTTTGTTGTTGCGTGCACGCATGTGCGCTTAGTTTGGTCAGCTACATGACTCGATCATAGAGTGGATCATTGCGTTTTCCTTCGGGCGCTCTTAGGGGACCAGTGTGTTGTTTAGTACTAGTCGCTCCCATCCAATATTGGTTGACCATATCAACTGAGCTTGCGTGTCTGTCTCGAGAACATCTTAACTGTGTTGATCCTAGCCTACGAGACAACGCCAACCACGGTGCGTTTCTCGGCAATGAACCAGAGGTCAATGGTACGAACCAATCAGGAGCCGTGCGGTTCAAACGGAAGCTGTATGACATCAAGAATACAAGCAGGCTATTGATGAAGACCTATTTGACCCATAACGTTTTTTTACACATCAGTTTATCCCGTTAATTTTCCCCAGTGAATCAACCGCTGCCTTTTTCCTGCGTCCCAGTGACGCGAGATTCCAGCCTACGGTTGCTGGTGCGATTCTTTGGTTCATTTGCGATTGCAATTCGTGACCCATGATTCGTCCATATTCCAAATACTACGTTATCACTGTGTAGTATTCAGATCGGGAATCGGAATCAAATAGAGCGAATTCGGATTCGTAGTGAAAACCCACTGATTAGCGCAAAGCTAGGTAGGACCAACAACAGCTAATTCTGTTCGGATATTCATGCAAATAAATATCACAAGCCTCTAACAATCATTGGTCGATTCTTCAATATCCAATCAAAACGATGTGGCTCATTTGGTTGCCTTCTTGCATTCAACCAATATGACTGATCCCATTTGAAACCACAGGACTGGTCGGGAAACCCGTTTCCTGTTTGGCTACTGGAAGCTGTACCGTGGTGCGCACATACTCGCCGCGTGATCACCGTACAGTTTGTATGGGGTGGTCGGAAACCAGTTACACACGCGCATGCTCGCATAGGGAAAGGAAAACTGCATGATGAGGTATTAGTATGTATCCAGTATGTTTCACACCTCGTGGTCAGGGCGTTCAGGTCTTCCATA